TCCACCCTGCAGTCAACTGCCTTCCCTGCGGCTGTGACTTCAGCACCCCAGAGCTGTTCATCCTCAACACTGTTGGATAGACCGCAAACCAACTTCTCTTCTTCGGAGCTGGAACTTGGAGATTTGTATTGTTCAACATGGCGAACATCCTACCTTATCCTTCCGTGGCGGTGCTCTTTTTCTCAGTGGGTCGTTCTTCGCGCAACACGCTCGAACGAACTATCCCTTCCGATCCCAGTTTTTACACTTCGTACCTTTGGCAGGGCATGTTCCGCTTGTGTGAGTAGAGTATCCACACTGAGGGCATGTCTCAGACTTGAGTCCATGTACAACGGCAGGCGACTGGCCAGCTTGGATATCTTTGAGCTGCAGGGCTCCACGCTCCTCCGCACGGCACTTTTGAATCACTTGTTCCAAAGTCGGGTCGTCGTTAATGAGGCTTTGTTGCAGTCGCTTGTTGGTCATTCCAAGAATGATTCGATTTAGCAACATGCAGTCGTGTAGCTCGCCAAAATCACACTACTTCGCCAGCGTGCGCAGCTCGGTAAGCCAGTCATTGAATCGTTCTCCGTAATGCTGGTTTCGGGTGCCGAATACAAAGTCCCTATACCTCACGTTGACAGCAGGGGTGCAATGCTTTTAAGAAATCTCAGCTATCTTCTCAACGCGCAGTTAGTCACCCGGGCTTTCAAACGTGAACGCTTTGTAGATGCGCCTTGCGTCTTCCCTACGACGACCAGGAACGTCGCGGCCTGTACCTCGGCATCTTGCTGCTGCAATGCAGTGGCGGTTGAGAACAACTTAAATTCGTCCCACCGTGTTCTCTAGGATATCTCCAGGTCTCCGGACATGTCGAGTGGCTTTGGCGGAGGCTGCTATCTTGAGAACCGCCCCCCCCCCCCCCCCCCCCCCCCCCAAGCATGGGAAGTCGCACGTTCGGACTCCCGCCCGACTGCTGCGTAGCGGTGCCACTTTCTTCCCCCATTTTTTAGGCTGCCGGTCTCTCTTGCCTTCACTGTTGCGTCGTGCGACTTCATATCGGTCTTAACTTCACTTGCGAGCGTTTTCGTATTCCGTTCTTGACACCATGTTATGAACTGTTTATTAACATCGCGTTTTTACAACCAAGAAAACTGAGGTCCACGAGCTTGCCTCGACATGGCCACGTTGCTCCCCGAGTGTACGCTGCTCATTGGCCAACTGTCCCAAGCTGCTTGCGGGTGATAACTCGTGCTTTCCCTCGGTGAGGTGGCTCCCTTCTGTGTTCAAGATGTGAACTTGTCTACCGTTAACATTTCGCATGGAAAATGCGTTCGCAGCGTGTAGACTCTGGCGACCATGCCACCATTCCCACGCCAACCTCCGGCGCCACTTTTGTTGAAGGATTGCACAACCGTACAAGCGCGACCGGCATGCAATGCACGAAGACATGAAGCGGACGCCCATGGAAGGAGGGTGCGGGCAACTGACTTCCGCAATGCCGCGCGGCCCGGGGCTATGGCGGGGGTTCTAATTTCAGACGTCTACAGATAGCGTAGCAGGTGCGGTAACCTTCGTTCACCTCGTGATTATTTCAGATGCCGCAATCCAGGAGCACTGACTCAAAGCGCTACACACGCCCTCGAAATCACCGTAACCCACACAAACTTTTCATCAAAGCATACCCCTCAAACTTTCCAATCCTGAAATGACGTGAACTTGTCTCAATCATTCTTATATCCCCAAGGAGTACATGAGTGTGTGGTGTGCGCAATAATCTAAAAATACCAAAAGCTCCTTATAACCAAACATAGCAAATCATAACGCACGCTTAATGCGGGCACGACACATTATGCGCTACCTCAGCATAATGACCAATACAGTTTTCATTATATATATATTTTTTTCCCGATCGCTTCTAGCCAATTGCCACATAAATTTCCGTGTCAAATTTGTGCATTACTGTTTATCCACTGAAATGAAAAATCTTGTGGCATCGCAAAATACCGCGGGAGGGTCTCGACGCGGTATTTTATATTTTTGATGACTCACAGAGGTTTGAGAAGTACTGGCTTATGACGGTCTAGGAAGAAAGACGTCCAGTTGGCTTCGAAATAAAGCATTTGGGTGCGGGCCTAGACATTCTGGGATTTATTACTAACATGATGAGTATTGTTCTGACTAAGTGCTTGCATATACTCTGTTGCTTGGTTCGCCATGGTAACCAAACTCATATTACGGCATGCCCTTTCATAGGGTATGCGTGGATTTGCGGACGGTCGGAGAAATTTCTGGGGGTAGAGAATTCCCGCATAAGACCTTCCATGCTTTATTTAAAGTTGAAGTCCCCCACAATCGACGAACTCAACGGCAACAACAGCTTTCCTGTAGTTGCTATTTCTTGGTGAAAGAAAGTCCCGAAGTCGATCGACCTTTCTTGAAACGCCAGCGCCACTAGTGAGCGCTCAGGGGTATTATGGGAACTGTGAGGGTGTCGCGTTCTTTAGACAAGTTAAGTTTAGCCTAGTCGAGCTTTTTTGTGCAAGGTGATGCACGCTAACTTTGGAAAAAAGGGAACGGCAGCTCATTCAGAAAGATGGCCCATCCAAAAAAGGGGCGTGGACAGCCGTGCTGTGTGCTGAGCTGCGACACAACACCCTGGAGGATCGTCTCCTGTCATGGAGACGATCCTCCAGGTTTCGGAAGGATGAGAAACGTAAGAGAAAATGGTTGCGACCCATCAATCGATCCCTTACACAGGGACCCAGCGTGAACGTAGGCATCTTGGTTTTCGCATGCGGTACGGCGGAGCAGACGACCGACCAGCGACCCTCACTGTTCCCATAATGCCTCATGCGCTCCGCTTGAGCGTGCGATACTATCCAGAAAGGTCTACTAGAAAAAGCCCTTTCCGTTCAAAGTGCAGTGCATTTGAAATATAGCAGATTTGTTCGATGTTACGTGAAATAAGCGTTATGAACTGAGAAGTTGCATTCTCAATAATGTCTGGTGCACACACATTCGATTGCTTCGAAATGTAATAATGAGTCCTTTTTTTTTTCTTTTGTGAACAATGCGATTGATAGAACTTTTAAAGCAAATAAATCGTGATTTCTTTCGAATCAAACGCGAAACAGATAGTAACGCCGGACAGCGTGAAATCCATAAAATGACAGTCACCGCTGTGGTCGAGAATGAACGTCGATATAGAGGAACTCCTGTCTACGATTAACAATAAATAATAAATTTGCGCGTGAATGAGATGCGATCGATTGTTCAGTCCTGCACAGCTGCCATGCGGTTACGTAAACCAGCGTCGGCGAACGTTTTTATTCGTTTCTTCTAGGGTGCCCATTCAAAACATTTCAAACATACACGAACGTATTTGTACCCGCTTTATCCTAGTCTGTCGTAGGTGCTCAAACATTTCTCAAAAACTCTTTCAAAAAAAAAAAGAAAGAAACATTAGAGAGTGTCTCAAAAACTTGCTTGCAGCAGAGACCGAGCATACGAAGTGCCAACCAAACGTGGTTAACGTGGAATTGGTATCCTTTCCTGTTTATACAGGGTGCTTGCTTTTAATTCTAGCATTTTGAATATTAAAGAAAACAAAGAAAAAAAAAAGATTCGTGACAGGTACACTGATCGTCACAATCGGTCGAATAGCTAAAACGTGTAAATTAACCTTTTAAAGGAGCTGTGCAACGATATTCAGTTGGAATGTTTTTCACTTTACACGAGCTTACTGGCACTAGTGGGACTCAAGGATACACGCACGCAACGCCACTGGCCAAAAACTCCTTTGTTGCGGTGAAATTTCAAGGACAAAAGCAATTATTTTCGTTCAAACTCTCCTTTGCAAAATTTGATGACGTAACATGGGGATCGCAGAACACCCAAGTGACGATATTTGAATGCCGTTCATAGGCTGGACCCGAGCCCTGCGGGGGCACTCAATTTGGGCTCGTGATAATTACTTGCTCCAGAAGCATTCGGGTAGTCGCCCGCGTCCAATAGCTGCAACGACGGCAATAGCCGAGCCCATAACAATGTCCGGAACTCAGCGCGTGTCCTGTGCTTTGCCAACCCCAGCGCGTGGCTATGATCAACATTGGCGGCATATAATCGGCTTCAGATTCCGTGGCCGCTTGTTCTAGCTGGCTGCGAGTTGAGGGGGTAAACGCTGCTCGTTTTTTTTTTTTTTCTGGGACTTTTATTACGTAGAGGGAAAAACGAACGCGTGTTTCATAGGTCATTAACGTCAGGGATCTGTTCAAAGCGGTATTTCCGCAAAGTACAAAAATTGTTGCATCGCCCCTTTAAATATTGAAAATAACCAAACATATTAGAAACCTGCTAAACGTTATCTAAAACAACTTAATCAGTAAATGTTAGAATTACCTAAAGCGCGTGACAAACACGGGGGTTTGCTAAAGAAAACGCAGATAATAATGTTATTATCCGCGTTTTCACACCACTAGCCTTGAGCCTGTTGCACCGGTGGTAACGTTAGCTACTCCCGTGATTATCACCTGCTTTAGGTAGTTTTTTTTTTTTAATTAACTGACTTCGTGGTCTTAGATGAGTCTCAATAAGCTTCTGAATGGAAGCATGTGATTATTTTTAATAACTAAAAGTTAATTAACACAGCTTAGCTAAAGCTTCAACATATTTCGATGATTAGCCCCTTGCATTATGCTCTTCTGGCCGTAAAGCTCACCTGCGCAAACCGCTTTAAAGCTCACCTGCGCAAACCGCTTTAACGTACCTTTTAAGGTTTTTTATCTTTTTTTTTCAATCGATCTGTTCGATATAAAATTCGACACCCTGTATTTAGATATCTGAGACTTACATGTTTTATTAAAAAATAACTTATTTCTAACATATTTTCTGTTGAGCTACTGTAGAGGCTCCCCTTTCTCGCAATATTGCACACTCAATTGATGCATGCCTGCTTGGCCAAACTTCTGCGCTGGTAAACGGTTCGATAACCCTGCAATATCGACTGTCCTTCGTTCCAGGTGGAGTACTGCCTTCGGTGCTCCAGGAAGTGAAGGTTCCTATCGTGAGCAACGAGAAGTGCAAAAACATGTTCCTCGCTGCTGGAAGGCACGAGTACATCCCGAACATCTTCATGTGCGCCGGCTTTGAAGAAGGAGGCAGAGACTCCTGCCAGGTGAGACCTGCCTGGAATCCGGTCCTGAAACAACCGACGTCTAAATAAATGTCCGATACAACTGTGTCGTACGCGAAAATAAGGAACCCCACAAAAAGAGGAAATGAAGGGACCACGACGAAAATAGTCCCTGGAAAAGGGGAACAAGAGGGACGAAGGACAAACACAATTCTCCAAAAACAGCTAGGTGGCTGGTGCGCGACCAAAAATATCCGTTTGGTCCTGCTATCGCACCACGGACCTCTCCATTTCCAGTGGAGCGCTCTACCAACTGAGCTAACCAGGAGTTAGACGTCAGTAGAGCAAGCGGGTTTTATCAGCTGCCACGAGTCTTACACCAAAAAAGCTTCTGAAGTCGTAAGCTGGCTTACAGCTCCTATAAATGTTTTCGCTGTCGAATCGAGGCGAAATTTTCTAATTGTTTACCGGAACAGGCTGACTTGGTATTCCCCGAGAGACGGACAAGGCGCAGAGCACGAGTACCCTAAGCATGGGTTCAAAAAAGTGCAGAAGAGACATATGTCAAACGTGTCTGCCCTTACGACATTTGCAGCGCCTAAGGAATGGGGAAGAAGATAATGTGGTCCTCAACTAAAAACAAATTTTAGTATTTGCCTAAAAATAATTTTCTAAATCTATTCGACCGTAGAGGGCTCCTAATTTACGCTCAATCAAGTGGGGAAGAAAGTAACTTTTCTTGCTTTTTATATTGTCACTTTTTCTCAGCGAAGTAGCTAAGTAACGTAGCAGGTTGATCTATTCACTGTCGTAAATAAACGCATTTTTTCTATTTTTCCCGTCTCTCTTTAGTTCAAAATTACATCCTCATCGGCTTCGCAAGACAGGCAGAGTTGCCTCAGCAAATGCAGTTGTATACATATTGTACCTCTTCAGCATTTTGGTCATTAAAACTAAATGTGGAAGTTTCCCTCTAAAACAAGAAACTCCGTACACCGTTTTTAATGACCTCGAGAAGCACAGTCTAGTAATTCAAGCAGGATCTTTTGAAGAGCCAGGCACTAAATGCACGAACAGACGCACGGCCGGTGGCAGTAGAAACAGGTCTCTGCTTCGAATCATGTACTCCAGAAACGAAGGTATTAGAACGTCTGTATGAGTGGTTCTTTGTTTGCTTGTGTGAGATAAGAATGGATCTGTGCAGCCATTATAGAACCGGCTGAATGAGACAATGGTATGCGAAGACCAGGCGAAAATTTCTGCACCCAGTGCAATAGGACCTCGACACAGCACGTGCCTCGCCTTTTAAAACGATGCTATAGTAAGCCCAAGGATTTGCCGCTAGTTAGAAAACTAGAATATTATAATTGTGATTATGACCTATTTGTCTGTTTCCACTTGCTCGTTCGCGCACCCACTAGCTTTTTTGTTTTCTTCTTGCAAAAATGTAGGAGAGAATAGAACCGGGGTCTTCTCTTAATACTCCTGTCACATAACTACAAAAACAAACAGAATAAATCTTTTGAAGAAAAAAAAATTAAATTGGTCTTACTTACTGCATTTACATCAGATTAAATATATTTAAATTACTGTAGTTAGAAAGTAGTGATTCTTTACCACTATATATTTCTCGACATTCCATATTGATTTTTACCAATTTGGAATGCCGCACTGAAAACAATGCGGAAGAAAGAATTACTGTAAATGTAAATTACAGTTCAATTAACGACGTTTTATCGATGCAATCCCCGACATACTAGAACAAAAACAGCTTAATTTGCCGAGTTAAAAGGCTTTTTTTTTTTTTCGCTCTTTAATTCGTTTTTACAAAACATTACTTTTATCTTCGTGTTTTTTTTTTGCGTTCTGATTTTGTTGCAGCAGGAAGTTACGTAGCTGACGAACAAAGTGGGAAATACTAGGGTGCCTCAATACCCTTTTCTTTATGGTAATGTCCTCTGTAGAACCCGATTACAGTGTACTAGCGATAGGGGGTCGTGTTGGGACTGGCGCGGCGCCCGTGAAGCGCATCGAATAAAGCCCCTCTATCCTGGGAAAAGTGGCGCCATTCATTGCTACGGATCTGCTGGAAACACGTGCCGCCCGCCACTTCTGAGAAGAACATGGCGTCTGAAATCTAGCTCAGTGCTGCGCTGTGCTGCCATGATCTTCCCAAGGCATGCACGTTGCACCTGCCTCGTGCACTGATGCATCAACGATGCACCTTGGGCTACTTTTAAAAAATGAAGGGGCTTTAGGCTCGAATCGATCTTTACAGATGGCATCACCGGTGCACGTGAAAGGCGTGCGGTGCGCCCGTGCGCTGTGATAGGCGGGGAATATGAAATGTTTTTTGTCGACCTGGTACACTGTCTCTTTTTCTTTCTTTCTTTCTCATTTCTTTGATTTCTCTGATTTCTTTTTTGTTAAATATATGAACGTAGTTCCAAAGGTTGTAGAGGGGCTCAAAAAGAAGTTTGCAGACTGAGCTCGTTTCTTCAAGGCGCTTTCCCGCCAGACCCAGATTTTTTTGCCCAGACTTCCCTTGCGGCTCTGTCCTTTGGAACGATGGAGATTGACGCTTTCCGCTCTCATTTCACACTTCATTCTGACAGACATTTTGACAGACGTATCAGACTCCAGATGCGAATAGATAGCTTCGAAGCTCAGTACCACGCCCAACAAAGACTGCATATGAACAAGCGACACATTCTGAGCGCGATTTCATCGCAGCTGCATCTTTTGGAATATACCGCATGTACTCAATAAACTCTGTCTTATGGCTCTAGAACTTACAACTTATTCTCTGACATACTTATAAGGATATCTAACTAAACTATGTGAAGACGACTGACTTCGAACATCTTAGTGTCGGTTGCGGGTCTTCCTTGCCGGTCAGAAAGGATAAATACACGTCGTAACTGGGTTTGAGACCCGATGTGTCTGTCCTGTTTTTAACGTGAAACGCTATTCGGCTAGTTGTTCCAAATTTCCTGAAACCGGATTGAGGGAAGCCGAATTAGGTGAAGCACGATTGAACCAAAGCCGGATTAAGTTTCCCCGCTAGATTTAGCGGGAAATTGACGTCACGTGACCTCAACCCCAATTCAGTTTCTCCGCAATATTTAGCGGGAAAAATGATGTCACCGCTTCGTGCCACGTAGCCTATTCGCAACTTCAGTTTCCCCGCTAGATTTTGCGGGAAACCTGACGTCACATGACCCACACATAAATTAAGTTTACCCGCTAAATTTACCGCGTAAATTGACGTCACGTAGCCTGATATCAGCTGACCTATAAACCAGTGCAGTTTCTTCACCAAATTTAGCCAGACATTTTCATTACGTGACATCGATTGCATATTTGTGCCAGTCTTGGGAGGTACCGCGATACTGTAACTTTTATTTGATAACTTTGGACCGTAACTCAATAAAAAAAATTCAGTTACTGCAACGATAACTTCAATACTTTTTTGAAAAGTAACTAAAAGTATCTGCAAAGATACACACACTTTTTGCAAAAGAAACTTACTCTATTTTGTGAACACCACAGCGGGTTCGACCGTGCCCGGAGGTTGGGCCCCACATTAGACACGACCAAATAAAACAACACTGGAAACTTTTTCCTTTTTTTTTTTTCAGAGGAAAGTGGCAGAGCAGGCAGCGGGCGTTTTTCTGTTTTGTTTATCCTTTTTTCATCGCGTGTCAAAGCGCATTTAGGATTTGCTCAATTTCAAATTTTTTTGTGCGGAGCTCTCTCGCCCCGTCTTCACCTTTATGGCCTCATCGAACAGCCACGCCCCTCCAGCCAAACGACAGAGCCACCTCGCGGAAATACGTGACGCGTAAACACCCAACGGTTAACTGTTTCACGCCGAACGAGGGCCTATGTCGCCGGTTCCGCCGCAGTCGCGGGGACAGCTTTCTTCGCGAAAGCGAGCCGCCGTCACTAGACCGGACATGTACAAGTTACTAAAAAAAAAAATAGTTAAGTTAAATTACTGAATATTGGCCTCAAAATTAATTTGAGTGGAGTAGAAATTAGTAAAATGGAAAGTAATTGAGTAAATCACTAGCTACCGTAAAAAAAGTAGCGAATTACTTTTGAACTTACTTTTGTATTTTTTTAGCAACAAGAAAGTGCATTAATTTTTTGATCCGTTAGCGAAATTCTGCTAGACAAATATAAAGCGGCTTGTGTTTTCACGTAAATGCTTCAATAGGTGGTCCTGCTTTTGCGTGATCGTACTTTTTGCTTACCGGTCAATGAGTTACTGCTGCGAATGTATCACTTCTACTTTGAGGTTTAGCCCTGCCTGAGCTTGATTTTGCAGACAGTGTTTGAAGCTCGTTTGCGGTGTTGCGTTCAGTACATCTAAAAAGTACTTGAAATAAAGTACAAAGTCAAATAGAGGTTACGTACTTCAAGTATAGTAAGCACACCGGGTGCAAAGTAAGTAAAGCACTTCAAGTACAACGAACTTTTAAAGTAAAGTACCAATACTTTTTGACACAATCTTTTATGATGCCCTTTTATATCCTATTTTTTAAGCTTTATCTTAACTGGTACGCATCGCTCCAGGTGTAATCGAAGAAGCGTCAGTTATTTTCTGAAATGGCGGCAAATATTGGATGAAGTGGAGTCTCACCAGAGTAGTTGTTTTATTCTCGCTGACGATATGACAATACACTTATGAGGCACTTAATTTGTGTCGGTCTTATAGCCCCCAATACTTCACTCAGAGAAATGATCAGATGACGTCTCGAAAGACGGTAGCGCGTTTTCACATGACGATACGCCATTTTTTGTTTCCAAATTTGGGGAATGTACTTTGAAATCGGGAATTTAACTTTCTTCGGAAATTACCAGAAAAATACCTTACTAATGTACAAGTATATGCTCAGAGAATGTACTTTAAGTAAACTTTTTTTCTTTTTCTTTTTCTTCTAGAAAAAAGTTTTCTAATCCTACTTGAAATAGAACTTTAAGCACCATTTTCTTCAAGTACTTCCCAATTCAGCTTGTATTTACTTTTCTTTTTTGCAACACCGTTGGTGAAATTTTTAGTTTCTCGAACGATCTTCGAATCTTGGAAGACCTGCATATGCAAAGTTTTGGGAAGAAAGGCAACGCAAAGAGGTCACTTTTGCGTTGCCCCTTAGCACGCGATCCTTCAAGTACAGCACAAACCACGGGAGAACCAGGTGGGCTTCAGAGGGGGTGCTGCATTTTGTTGAATCCTTTGAGTAAGGCTGCAGTGTGTACACCTTCTGTAGAGGGCGAAAGTTTCTACGTTGGGGAGAAGCGGGGACAAACCCTTTCTTATACGTCAAGTCTCCTTGAGCTTCGGGACACAAAGAAATGCCGGTTTTCGGCGCTAATCCCGCATTTACTGGGCCTCACTTGCAACGCGTCTCTCCGCTCCCCGCGCCTCGTAGCAGAACTGTTGAAGTGGGGTGCTCGTAAAAATTTTAGAGGGTTTCGGACCTTCCAAATCGTCTCCCCCCCCCCCCCCCCCTTTCCTTTGCCACATGCGTCCCCCTCTTGAAAATATCAGCTGATCTTCCAACATGTTATCTATTTTTGTGCAGGAATGTTTGTTGACCAACAAACCTACCACTAAAATTTAAAAATAATTCGTAATTTGAGTAGAAGTTACTCAGAAAAAGTAATTAAAGTAAACTACTAATTATCGAAGTCAAAATGTCATTGAAAGTTACAAAACTAGTCAGAAAAGTAGTTATACCACAGTAACTTGAGTAGAGTAGTTGAACTACGTACAAGTTTGCAGTAGACACTGTATGACCGGGGCCACAGACGATGCTTCTACTGGTCGACTTGTCCTTTCGCGGGGGATGTGAGCCCATGATCCACGGTCGAGTCTTTTGTTCTGCGTTGCATAGAAGAAAATAAAAAGAAAAGCGTAACGCATTTGGACACGACTTTGTGTTGTTTTTGTTCGCTTTTTTCTTTGCCTTTTTTATACTGATGTTATTTTCCACTTTGTTCAGTTGCAGATGGTTTAGCCTTCTGCTCCTCTCCCTAATATTGGAATGGATTCGTCTGTTCATCGGTATCTCCCTTTCCTGTCAGCTGAGAAAGGGGAATAAGAGAGCTCTTAAGAGAAAGAGGAAGGGATACTGAATATTGCAAGAAACGAGGAAAATATTTGGATCGTAATTAACCGTTATCGCTCAAACGAGAGGGTGTCATTAGTGACGAACGACAGGTGTTACCGTGGCCCGGCTATGAACTGCACTTTGATGTTTTTCGAATCTAGTGGCGAATAACTTCAGTTCTCGCTCAAACACTGCAAAAAAGTACACGCATCCGGGAGGTCTTCTTCCTCCAACCTGCACATGCTCCTCAGGCTGAGGTTAGACTTTCATTTCTGGACAGTACCCCTAGGAATGGAGACGGAACGGTGAGAGGCTGAAACCTCGACAGGACTCTCAGCCTCAACGACTTTACCACCATTAGGAAAGCTTTTTACGCCTGAATACTGCACTGTCGTGTAGCTGATCCGTTGAGCGCCTATTTACCAAGGAAAAGGATGTGCATCAAAAGGGGAAAGTTAAGTGATAATAACTTTATAAAGGATTTGCGGCTGCGTTACTTGAACCAAATAAATTACTATTTAGTCCATCGTCTATTGAACCAGCAAACGCTTTCATTGAACGAAGTCGTGCGAAGGTAATAATATATATATCTCGAAAAGTCGAATTAAAGTTTTCTGAGAGTTTCAAATAGTAAATATAAATTGTAATCGTCGTGTGTGTTCATCAATGTTTTCAAAGCTAAGTAAAGAAAATTGTATTGAAGGTAACTAAGTTTCTATGATGAATTAACTGTAACTGTAACGAGTTACATTTATTTTTAAGTAACTGTAAATTAAATACATTTTCGAGGAACTATCTGTAACAGTAAATAATTACTTTTAAAAAGTAACTTACTCAAGACTGATTTGTTTAGCTATCGCAAAAAGCTGGCGATGCTTGAACGTTGACGTATCCACCAGAATTGAGTAATAATTCGCTATACATTTTTTTCCCCTTTGTGTCGAGTCAGCTATACGTATGTTAAACACTTTGCGTTTGCCTGTTTTCAGCAGAGTATTGGTAGAGCAAAGCAGATATTAAACGTCGTTTGCCCGTAATTGATAACAGGTAATTTGATTGGTTGATTATAATTGTGTATGCATTGATAGTACTTTGACATATTAATCAGCGTCTATACGCGATAAAACAGCAAATTACTAAAGCTTGGCCATTTAGCGTATTCGCACAGTCCCAATTCCTGCAGGGAAATTTATCTCCTGGGCCCACTCAGACCAATAATAAACTGTAAAAACGGACATCTTAATATCTGCCCTGTCATCATGTTTGCCGGCTGCTGTCTGCTCCTGAATCTAAAACAAATGTTTGTCGGTGTTGTTTTTGAATTAATCTCTAATAAACTATGTGAACTTGAGGTTTTATAACTCTAATACTATTGACGCTGGAAGAACTTCTAGAGTTCGCTAGCTTCTCGTGCCTTGTAGCCACAGCCTTAAAAGTATTACCTGGATATTTGAGTGGACAGGTACGTAGATTTTGGATTGAAGTGAAATATATATCTAGAATGCAGATAAGTTGATTGCGTCCGCATTTCTCTTGTAACAGTCATGGCAAGCGAGTGTTCCATTTGCATCATTTATCTTCTTCGGCTTGTTTGAAGATAACCGAAACCTTTAATCCGTCCACCATTTTGCTTCTAATTTCTAACGTCAATCAGGGGATTTTGTGTTTTTTTTTTATTTCGCTTCCGCCCATGTCAGATGGTAGCTACTTTGAACAATGAATCGCCCTGTATGAGCACATTTCCCGTCAGCGAAGCAGAGTGGTGGCACATAGTCTCGGATTCTCTTGCGGCTGCAGTCTGGTACCATCGCATGCGAAGTCTGTTAAACAAATCAGCTGTTTAAAGTATAATTGTCCAAACAGAAGAATACGGTTATACTGCGAGTGCACCGGCGAGTTTTACTGTGTTTCTGCTTTCAAGTGCTTTTCACTATAAGATACAAGACAAAGCAGTTGTTAACGTGACTTACAGCAGTGTAACACCTACAGAGTTAGTATAATTTGCTTATGGAGACTTCTTTATTTTTTCAAATGTACGTAGAAATATGGAGCCTTAATCTATATCGTGGTACGAAGCGGGACCAAAGGACAGGGACATTACCGACGGCTGCGATTGGCCAGCTCCGCACCACTGTCCAATCGCAGCGGGCCGCGATGTCCCAGTTTCTTGGGCCCGCCGTGTATATTAGGCCCCTGTATGCACATGCGAGACAAGCATGACCATTTTTTTTTAAGAGGCCCCTGACAAATGAACTCATATCTTTCGTCGCGGCGACAGTGCTTTTATAAGAATCCCACTCAATAAATACGTTTGGCCTACTCATAAATCATTTGGCATAATACTACAACTTCAGATACCGCTCACCAGGTCGTTCCTGCTCTCGCTCTAGCTCGGAGGCTACACATTAATTCTTGATAACCTTACCTGGTTACATATTACGGCGCCTAGTGAATTAGCTGACGCCTAGACTGTGTCTAAATAGGGGTAACGTGAACCTGCCGCGGTTACGCGATTAAATTACGACATGTCAAAGGTATACAGTCCTCAATTCCTAATACGCCACTTCTTTGATATTACCCCATAGATGAGACAGTCTGCGCAAACCCACCAACCCGAAATCAAATACAAAAAAAAAAAAAATGCTTTCGAAATTGAATTAAGGACGGCTTTTTTTACACTATAGAATAATTGAAGCTGGTCAGGAAGATTAGTTATCGCGATGCCATGTTGAAGTTTCAATTTAATCCGTTTTACCCTTGTAAGATTAAAGCAGTGTGAAAATACTAAGTCCTTGCGCTACGTGATGCGCCGTTCCGTTAAAGAGGATAAAGGTGGGTGGGAATGCCCTACCCGTGCTAGCTTTCTGTTGATAGTACAGTGTAAGAAAGGCAAAATGAACATTGAATGACTCAGTGAATCATTCGAACATATCACTATTCACATGATCACAGTTGTTTTCATTTTCAATTGCAGGGTGATTCCGGTGGGCCTCTGCAAATACAATCCAAGGACGGCCGTTGGTTTCTAGCCGGCATCATATCTTGGGGCATCGGCTGCGCCGAACCGAACCTTCCTGGAGTCTGCACAAGGATTTCTAGGTTCAAGGATTGGATCATCAAGAGCACAGCCTAACGACACAACGTACTCTAAACCGGTTTACCGCCCGTACAGTCTCAAATCTATCGTCTGCGAAGAGGATCTGCTGGAGTGAGTGTGCGCGAGGTGTAATTGCCGGTGCGAAGTATGTGAATTGAACCTTGGGACGTGAACTGGATAGAAAGATGGAGGACGTTTTCGCAGAATGATAGAACTCAGCGAGTGCACCTTTCGTGAACGATGAACTTTCTTTGAACTCTACTCGACGAGGACATCTTTCGGGTGACTTGAATCGTGAGTGACGTACGTGAGCTCTTATCGAGTGAGAAGTAAACATTTTCATGCCGCTGCGCGTTTTACGTCTGAAAGCCCTGAGCTTTTTTAATTCGCCGTCTGCGGAAGACGTGGCGTTTCCTCAGAAGCTTGGCGCAGGGCATGCTTCTCGATCGCTTCGATGGTCATTGACAAGGTGAGAACGTCAGGGAGGAGTTTCATTTGTCCTGCCTTCAGCACGAGCTTTCTACCATGGGTAACGCTTCGAGACCTCGCGAGTCTCGAATGTGCACGCGCAGTCAAAGTACGGCGGAAGGAATCGAGCCCGTGCTGGAGGTTGGGCGCTCCAAAGAGACGCCCTTTCGTTGCCATCCTGTCGGGGACTCTTAGCGCCGAGATGTTTCGCTGGCGCCTTCTTATGGTTTGCATCCTTGGCGTCAGAACCAGGATTTGTTTTGCCGTGACGTAACGAGTTGTTATCCCGGCTAGTTATCATCAGCTGCGACGACAAGTTCGATGGCGCGTTTAAAAAGCACAGTGGAGACAGGAGCCATCACATCCTGAAACTGACACCGTCGAAGTTGACAGTCTCTGACAATGCTCTCGTGCTCGTAGTTTGGCCAGGCGTGGATAGCCAGGAAAGCCGCCCACAACGACGCTTTTGCTGCGCTAGTCGTGAATTGGGCAGGAGATCGAACTATAGGGGGCGCTTTATCGAGCTTGTTGTGCCCACAGTTCGGTGTTTGCAAACACAAAATAACAAAGAAATTGAACCTGCTATAGCACGATCTGGGCCCGAGTTCGTCGCTTTGACCACTGCTTTGGTCGCATGGAGGACTGCCTTCGAATAGTCATCTTCAATTTTTCTGATCAAAAACAAACAAGGAAATTCAGTGTGTTATCCCAACAGCTGAAGCGTATCGCTAGAGGCGTGACTGTTTTATCTCTTCCCCAATACAGAGTAACTATTCGTCTCACCATTACAGTGACTAAGCGAAAAGGTTGCGATCGCCAGTTACATACGTTTGATCCCGTTTCAGCCAACGTTATTAGATTAGCGCAGTACCGGAACTGCTAATAGACGCTGCTTGCACGATCAATATAACCCCCCTCACTCACCACGACTCGCCACTCGTCGTTTGACTGGCCGGACGGCTGCAATGGTAACTGCAATGCCTTTTATGGAATACGTACGTTTCGAAGCACAGCCGTCTAGATGCCGTTTCATTGTACTCTATGGGACACACAGTTATAAAACAAAAATCTAAATGGCGCTTCGAAGGACGGGAGGCGGACTGAAGTGAGTGAGAGGGGTACAACCTTCCGCGAGAGTTCCACAACCGAGGTAATCTAGGAACGTTGGCTTAAGCTACATTGACGCACGTGTAGCGGGGCCGCCCTTTGAAGCTACCCGCTGGCACACCTAACTTTGCGGTTAGTTCATGTTAAAGTGATGTCCAGCGCTTGTGGTTCCGCACTGAGAAGCTTGTGCATCGGGGACATGCTCGAACTGTGCACCTTCATACAAACGCGCGGGGGATTGTGGTCTCGAATGTTGCTCCCGCCATACGAGCATGCCAGGGGCAGAGGCGCCTTCCGAAGTAAGTAGTTAGATTTCCCATCAATGTAGGCTAGTCAAAAAAGGTGCAAGCGCATCCGAACGCTTGGGTTGCACGAGCACCAGAGAAAAATATGCGCTCGTGTTTGGGGTCTTAGCGGTGAATCCATGTCACCTCTCTTATTGGACGGGAGAGCACGCCCAGTTTCAAGCTTGCCAATTGTTTCTTAATGCGTGTGCTGCGCATCCTTGCACTCGTGGGGCGTTAGGACGCTACGTATGTAATATAAGATCCGTAGCAACTGTATACGTATTTATGACGTGACACATTTCTGTCCACACGTAGTTATTGATTAAAAGGGAAACACCGCAAGCTCTTAATACACATCATCCAATCACAGGGGGGTTTGGGAGAAAGGGACGTAGGGGGGCGCTAGCCAGGGGAAAAGAAAGGGGGGGGGGGGTTAAATGAGAATAGAGGCTTTTGGCCCTGACGAGTGTATGAAGCTAACCGAGGGTTACATGCACACCAGCCATCTTTCTGCTGCAGATCTTATGCTGTAACAGGATGCAATCGGTGGCGACTACGATACAATTTCGGTTTTGAATTTCACACTTAGAAGTATTACCTTCAGATAACCAAATTCTGCATTTAATGCACTTACAAGCACAAGAACACAAACAGCAGAAACATAAAGGAAATGCGAGTATATAAATTATGCCGCCTTTCACTCAGTGAGTCTGGATGTACAAGGTGAAAAATTTTTATGTCACACGTACTCAGCCAATGAACATGTTTCAACGTGTGTATTGGTAATTGTAGGCAGCGCCTTAGACCATAAACAAAATGTACCCCCCCCCCCCCAACACACACACACACAAAAAAAAAGAGAAAAAACAACTCTTTTTTCGTATTGCAAAAATTAAGTACGGATATCCGAACGCCTATTCTTTGCCCGAATGTAGCCTGGGTGTTCCAAACCAAATGCCAAAGTTTCAGAATTAATCGGTATTTTATTCAAAAGTTATACGTGACTTTCTGAAATTTTTAATGGGAAAATGACGGTCGACGGAGCTCTCGGATATTTGATGCTAAATGGCGCCATCTACCGAAAACGGGCAAAAGTGGGTCCCATTTTCCCATTGAAAGTTTCAGAAAATCACTTTTGAATGAGAAAACGAATAACGTTTAAACTTTGGCACCTGGTTTCGGCCCCCAGAGCTACCTTTGTGTAAAAAAATAGAGTTCGGCCATGTGTACTATATTTTCTCGGTAAAAAAACACGCAATCTTTTTTGTTTTGTTTTTTATAGACATGCTGGGCGACAATTGATATATACATCATCGGTTGGGAGAAATCAACATGGTTACTATTTTTATTATATAGGCAGACGGATAACGCAACAGCTGCACCACCCAGAAAACTAATGTTTCAGGAGAGCCCAAATATAGAAGAATGCTACGTTCTGAAATGACCATCTAACAAACATAGCACATTTTAACATTGATTGAGTTAAAGAAATTTCACCAGCCTAGAAATGTAATAAGGAAGTTCCGACGTCACGCGAACATACTCGGTGTCTGAGAAAAAAATATGTACGGTGTTTTAAACACCCAAAAAATAAACTACACATCGCTGAATGCTCAGCTCTCCACACACATATCTAGCGCTAATGGTCTGGATCAGATGCAAAATTTCTGAACAGGCGCTTATATGTTTCAAAGGTTATAAGCGATTATCAGAAGTTTTCATTAAAAAAATGGCGGCCGAATCGAAGCTTACGAATGCATAAATATGAATTACATGGGCCACATGAAAGGAGACCTAATTTCTTATTAAAAATTTCTGACAATGACTTTTAATTTTTTTTATAAGACAAAAACATGCACTGAGATTTTGACATCAAATCGGAACTGCTAAAGCGCCTCCTTTGGGCAGAGACCGAACGTTCTGAAAAGCCCACTTTATATGAGTAATAAAGAAAAATGTAGACATTTATGGGTAACGGTAAGTCTGCCATCATTTTCGTACCTTCTCTCTTGGGTAAATTTGAACTTCACGGACGATAGCTTTTTTTCTCTCGGTTTCAATCAGCGTACGTTCACAACGCAGATTAGCGTTGTTTCTCTTGTTAACTTCTCACAGTGATTTTTTTTTTTTTGCTTTAAAATGCGCAAGAGTAAAATGTCCTTCAAACAAACTACCTGAATACCAAAAAAAAATTCTTGGGACGTAGGTATGCACGGACTGCACGCGTTCGCCATCTACATGAAAGATTATTCAAACTATATGACGGATGTGAAAAGATGAAAAACGCAAATACAAAATACTCTTTGTTTAGTTTTATTTTTTATTTTGCTTTAGGACGGTTACTGCTACAGACGTCAGCATGTGCAACTATAACTACACTCGCGCAAGCTACTTGGTGATTGGGTAATTTTGCAAAGGGGTATGTATAGAGCTGCTTACACAAGTATGTGATTTTAAATAAAATTAGGAAGGTTAACAGGCTCCAAAGGGCTACCGTCATAGAAGTGCGCTACATAATACACTTATCTCTGTCACTCTTTTGTTTTAAGGCAAGCCAGTATGTTAAGAACACGTCCTCCAATATCTGGAATGGAATCTGGAATTTGAAATGTTAATTTTTAAAGTGTGTGTACTCTTTTAAATTTGTGTTTCCATTTCTTCGCTACATTTGCAGCACATACTGAGATTTGGACCAGTTTATAAAAAATAAAAAATAAAACTTTGTGACGAGGTTGATAGGGCTGAACGAGATATTACTCGTTGCCATATTAAAATGAACTATTGTCGTAACTTTAAAGTTTACTTTTCTATCTACGCACATGTCATGGGCTATAGTCATGAGGGACAACAATACATTAAGATCTACTTAAGTACTATAAGCTCCGCTAATAATCAGTGCGGCTCTAATCAGACCAAATAAGTGAAGGTAATTAGTAGACCGACGTCGGCTGGCATGGCACATCATAGGACTTAGCCATTTCACCGGGCACGCAAGAGTAAAAGTAATTGCTCAAACAAAACAATGTATCTGCGAATTCAGATTTTTTTAGCCATTTTAATATTCGGTGTGACTCAGTTTCCACTACAACTGCAGGTCGCAGCACACCTACCAGTTGTGTGAATAACACGGAGTACGTAAACATCTCTTTGACGTTTCCTTCTCCGACATCTTGACGTGCCCATACTTCAAAA